TGTCTGCCTTACATGTATTTGTGTCATTTGTAAGGTTTTACCTTTGATACGTGTACATGATCAAAAAAAGGAAGAAAAACATTTAAAATATCTGTTTATCAATAGAAGAACAGATAAAAGATGTATACTAGTAATTATGTTCCCCAACGAAGTTTGGGAACATTTTGTATATAATGAAACGAACAGCAAAATAGTTACATCAAATTTTTTAAAAAGAATTCTTAATTTACTTTTACTCAGGAAAGCTTTGTCATCCTTTAAATTAAACACCAAGTGTTCAATAATCATATTTTTTTCATTATACCTGCAGTGAAATACTCGAATAAAATTGACTTATAAGGAAACATTAACACGGCCAGGAACACGTTAAGTTCCTAGACAGTACCGTTGTCAGAAACCTTTAAAGTTAAGCACTGAAACTGGTTCGTTGTCATGAACATACAAGTGAGGTTATGATAAAATCCGTCCGGTGTCATGCAAAAGATACAAGAATTAATACATAATGCCTAAATCTTAATGTTTTTGACAAATTCTAAGAATAAATTTGAATTTTGGGAAACAGATACAACATTCAGTATTCCATACAAAGATTTATGTATTCTATATCCACTATACATTTTGAGGAGTTTTGGTTGGCGATCACATGCCCATGAGTGAAGCCATGATCGTGAGCTGGTAAATTATATATTTCTTATATTTAATTCATCGAAATGGTACTTTTATTTTAAAATATGAAGAGAAACTTCAATTTCAATGTATTAGGCAACTGACAGCCTTTTGTAGCTAACATGTTTTAAGAAATCGCAATTTATAAGCAAAAAGTCCGTTGTCAGTACATGTTAAGTTTATCTGGTCCGGTGTCATTTTTCTTAACATGTAAGTAAATCAATAAAATGCAACAGAAATGATCAAATATATGCTTTATTTTAAAAAATACAAAGCATATTACAAATATATTTGAATCTCGGGGTCGTCTTAAAACAGCTCACACCAACGTGCTAACTATTCAGCGGTGTTTTTATTTTCAATTCATTTTCTCTTAGGAACCTGCATCCTAGCTAGTATGCAAACATACACAATTCCTTGTATATCATCAGTATAACAAAATTAAAATGAACATGATCGGCCGATACTAGTATCGGGCGACGCAGAGTAGTCACATTAATTCCTAGGAACACCGATACTTTTAAAAGTAAAAATATTTATAATTTGGCCAACCGTCGCCCGATCATCGTTCGCAAGGCCGCAGTTTGATTTTCGTCATCGGTCCACAGTTGTACGAAAACCCAATTCCTAAATGTCGACCGACTGACGACCGACTTTAAAAACTGTATGCCGATGGTCGGCCGATGATCGAAGGTTGGTGGACGGACTATTCAATGAGTGCTTCAATTGAATCGACCACAGACGCCAAAAAAAAAAAAAATAACTTGACCCGACTGACATACATAAAATTGGTCGGCCGACGAAAAAAAAATTGGGCAAGGCAACGGCCGATAATATGAAACTTATGTGGAAGCATTTGTTCAAATCATGACTTCGGGGGTAGGATGGGGCCACAGTGGGCTGTCAAAATTTTACATAGGATAATATAGGAAAAATCTTTAAAAATCTTCTTCTCAAGAACAGCAAAGCCATATAATTGGTCATATTTATATGGAAGCATCCTCAGGTAGTGTAGATTCAAGTTTATTCAAATCAAAGTTTAACATAGGAATACATAGGGGAAATCATTAAAAAATCTTATTCTCACGAACAGCAGAAACGTGATTGGTCATCATAAAATAAAAGCATCCTCAGGTAATGTAGATTCAAATTTGTTCAAATCATGATCCCACAGAGGCGCCAAACAGGGGATCATTGTTAAACAAAGGGTTATAAAGGATATATCAATAAAAATTTCTGCTTTAGAAAACAAAGCCATTATTAGTCATATTAGTTCAAAAGCATCTTTAGGTGGTGTAGATTCAAGTTTGTTCATGCAAATCATACCCCCCCCCCTCACTTTAATATTTAAACTTTTTAATACTGAACTCCGAACCAAAGTGCTCAGGTGAGCGATGTGTCCCATGGGCCTCTTGTTTTTGGTGGATTTGTAAATGTAATCGGTGTGTAAATGACATTGACGTATCTCGTATGCTATTCATGCAGCGTGATTGTGACGGTACATTTTGTCGACCTGTTCATATTGTCGCCGGCGACGTTTACATACACTCACTAAGCATATTGTCGTCCATTAGTACATGTCGCATGACAATGCATGGCAATGTTTCCATATAGATGTGACTAATCATTGCTTTGCTGTTGTTGAGAAGAAAAAGTTTAAAGAATTTTCCTATATATTCCTGTGTAAAACTTTGATCGCCCTTTGTGGCCCCAACCTAGGCCCGGGGGTCATGATTTAAAGAAACTTGAATCTACACTACTTGAGGATACTTCCATATAAACATCGCTAATCATGGGCCTACTGCTGTTCTCAATATTTTGATCCAAAAATTTCAGAACGGGGAAAGGGGGGGGGGGCGGTTCAGATTTTTTTTTGACAAGCCAAAAAAAAAAAAAATTCGTTTGTGTGTGAAGGAGTGTTACTGTATAAGTTAATTATATTATTTAATCATGAAATTTTACCTGTGAACAAAATTGAGAGTATATACAGGTTAAAAACAAAACAGAATTTACAAAAGCAAAGAAAATGAAAAAAAAATCAAACGGAGGGGGCAGGGTGGGATAGGGATGGGGGAGGGGGTGGGGTGCGCCGGTGCTAGATCCGCCTTTGATTCTTGAGAAGATTTTAAAGAGTTTTTGTATACCGTATATTTCAACGGAAAACTTTTATCACCAATTGTGGCCCCACCCTACCTATGGGGGTCTTGATTTGAACAAAATTGATTTTGTTTTTGTTTGTTTGTTTGTTGTTTTAATATCCCACTTGCCGTTGGAGGGCCAAAAATTTAGACCTATTCTCGGAACTCAGGGCCATTGAAAAGTGTGGAATCTTTTTCGGGTCAGAATCTAAAAAATTAAAAGTACACTTCATGTGTGTACTTTCACATAAGTATCATCTCTTCTGATCCAGAAGTTCTTGAGAAGAAAATTTTGAAAGAATTATTCTTAAATATTCTATTAAAACTTTGATCACCTATTGTAGCCCCACCCTTTCCCAGACATGATCTGAATAAAAATGAATCTACACTTTATAATAATTATAAAAGCTTTCACATAAGTTTTAACTTTTTTGACACAACGGTTCTTGAGAAAATTATATAAAGATGTTACTAAATTTTCACTAATTCTTAACTATACATGAACTTTCTTGAAAGAGGTCATGACCATTAACTTGAACAAATTTGACTCCCTTTATCAACGTTTGCTTTCTGGTAAGTTTGGTTAAAATTGAAATTGGCCAGTAGTTCCCGAAAAGAAGGTGAAAATGTGAAAAGTTTACCGACAGACAGACGGACGACACAAGAAGCTCACTAGAACTATCAGTTCAGGTGAGCTAAAATATGTCAACCCCTAAACCAATTATATCGGCACTCGTATGAGAATTAAGCAAAAAAAAAAAAGAATTCCAGATGACTTTTCTACTGAACAAATAACTTTCAATCTCATATCCAAGTATATATAACGAGAAAAAAAGAATAGACTGATTTTTTCAGATATCTCAAGAATTACGGTATTCTGACATATCAAAGTCATGTAAACCAATGCTGGACACAGTTTTCTGAGCAACACCATTTCTCCCTACAATATTGCGAGTAATGCTAAATAAATACAACTTGTTTACTTATTTATCAGCCAAACACTTTGTCTATCCTTTTGTGTGTCTAGCTCTCTCTCTCTTTCTCTATGTATGTGTGTCAATCTCTCTCTCTTCACGACCTTAGTAAATATTCAACACAATATATCGGCGACAAAATGTGCCAATGGTCACAGTACATATTGTCGCCGACGACAAAACGTGCCGATGCTTGACTGTACATTTTGTCTTCCATTAAGCAGGAGGAAAAAAAAGGCTCGTCAAGGTACAAATTGTCGCCGTCGACAATATGTATCGATGGACGACGATATGTGCAGTCAGGGTAGGTACATTTTGTTGCCGACGACAATATGTACAAAACGACAATATGTACCGTCACACCCCTCTTTTTGATGGCATGCTTAACGATACCTAAAACAACATAAGATCGTAGTGTATACAATACAGTAGCGACAACGGACCGATGACAACGGACTGAATTTTCGTATCTTGTCATGACAACGGACAAAAATTGAAATAAATCAAAATTTTCAGTTTTAATTTGCTCTCAATTTTTCTGTAAAGGCTTACAACATGTCTTGATACTGTCTGCACCAATTGGTGTGTATATTATATTCTATTTACGAAAAATATAACATCTCAGTAGGAAAACGAATCAAATCCACAAGTGATTTCAACAGAGTTAATGTCGCCAACGCAAACTCTTCTTTTATTACTTGTTTTTAACGGCTGATATTCATACAGCACCAAATAGGGTGTCAGCCCTGTTTCCCATTGCAATTTCAGACATTGTAATAGATAATTTAACTTGAAAAATGAAAAACTTCTTACAGCCTGTCTTCTCAAGTCATGACACCGGACGGATTTTATCATAACCTCACCTGTATGTTCATGACAACGAACCAGTTTCAGTGCTTAACTTTAAAGGTTTCTGACAACGGTACTGTCTAGGAACTTAACGTGTTCCTGGCCGTGATTAAAACTTGACAAAGACTTCAGAATATTGACCGGTTGATAAAAGCTCGACTAAAAAAAGAAATATTATATCAGACTCAATAAAAAGACGATCCTGATTAAATGTTTACTGTCTGTTAGACTCGTCGTATGTTACATGTATATCTTGTTAAGCTTAAATGAGTGAACTTAGGAGTGCTGAAAAAAGCCGTAAATTGAAGTTTTTTTTAAAAAATTCTCTCCGTAATATAAATTAAAAAGGAGCATTTTCATCGTTTAATTGCAGACTACTTTGTGTTCTGGATAAAGTCTATACATACCTACTGTGGTTCCAACAACGAAAAAGATTCAAAACCCGTAGTCCTAATTGTTGCAACACATTGGGAAGAAAAAAACAGACAGTTCAGTGTAAGTTCTTTTTTTTTTATCTAATGAACATTTACAACACACCATCGTAAGATTTTTTTTAATTGAAAAGAACTTAATTCTTTGTTTTATTGCAATGTAATCTTTTAGTGATATGTATGTCTTTATTGAATAAAATACATTTTACCATGGTACCGATTACTAGATCTACATTATATACATGAATGTTTGGATTATTTGCATATACATGTATAATAATAGCATTATTAGAAAGTCAATTATACAATCATTTTTATCAATTAAGATTCCCCTCCAATTTGTATGTTTTTTTGGATGGTTTTAAAAATGTATGACTCCAGGATCTTTTTTGTGTAGTTGGGAATGATGATTTATATAAGGAACATAAATAGATAGAAATTCACATTCCAAAATCATGTCTTAACAGAAAGAGAAAACAGCTAGTATATCATTATCACTTGAAAAGTAATTGGATAAATATCTTTTATCAATGCAGGATACACAGGAACTGATTGACAACTTGCGCCGTCAGTTTCCAAAGTCATCTAATTTATCACAGTACATCACAGATGATAACGTTTATTGTGCAGATTTTACTTTACCTCTCCATGATTTGGAAACATGTTTCTTCGATATAGCTTCCAAAACAAGATGGAACGAAAACATTCCAAAAGAATGGTCTTTCTTTGGTTTAGAAATTAACCAGAAAAAACAAAGAAAGAGAATCCTGAAAATCTCAGAAATAACAACGGAAGTAACAGAGATTGCTGCGAAAGGACAGACAGGTTCTGAAAAAGTTGAAAAGGGAACACAAGATATGCTGCGATATTATCATGATGCTGGAAAAGCTCTATATTTTAATGAAAATGGTTTGGACGATGAAGTAATTATTGATGTTCAATGGTTTATTGACGCCTTCAAACATATCATCACAGACAAGAAACATTTTAAAGGTATTCCTGTGACCCAAGGGGACTGGGATGAATATTACAAAACTGGAAATTTACGAAGCCAACTTCTGATAGAAATCTGGAAACATAAGGATGAAGAGTTAATTAAAAAGCTGAAGAAAGAAGACGAAAATTACAATGTCAAAGGCGGATCTTGTGAGAGAGATGAACGATATCTACAATATCATGAGGAATCACTTCTTAACTTTATGCAAAGACTTGGTTTGCTTGCTGTTGGTAGAGAATCCCACTATGTCCCTTGCATGAATCGTAAAGAAATAGAAAAAGAACTTCTAGATATCATCAACGAATCGGATAATAAATCATCTATCCTTGTTTATCAATTTGAATTTCTGCCATTTTTCTTGTTTTTCCGCCTTGTTGTAGCTTGTATGCAAGAAAATGGTTTGGAAGTACTCGAAAATGATGGTACATCTTGCCTATACAGAAACGCTGCTTTGTTTTCATATATGAAGTTCAATATTGTTTTATCCGTCAATAAAGATTCTATACAACTTCAAGTATTTCATCCGGTGGCAGGATACGTTTTGGAAAAAGCACAAGTATGCACAATTCAAAAAAAAATAGAGGAAATGATGGAGAATCTTTCAAGATCATTTAACAGAAAAATACAGTTTGTTAGAGGCTTCAGATGTCAAACAGACGAGATAGAAACTATTGCAATGGATATCGAGAAACATTTTTTACCGGAAACAAGGATTCCGAAAGAAGATCGCAAAATGATATGCCCTTTGCATTCAGTCACTGATCGGCATATCATCGATACCATGGAGTTGACGAGATATTGGGAATTGAAGACTGAAACGATTCCTCGAGACGGCAAATAATTTTCAGAATTACAAATTATTGCTAAATTTTGGACTGTTTAATTGGTTTGAAATGATTCACAAACGCTTTACACTTGGACGAATCGTAATTCTATATCAGCAGTAAGGTTTTCAAAAACGTCATGCAGTTTCAAATATTTGTTTGAAAATATATGAGGATACGCTTATAAAAACTAGTTCACAATGTGTATCTATATGTCAACTTAATGACACAGAGTTAATTTTGTATTTTCATGAACAAACTGGCAAAGTACATTGTATATATTGCATACTATTATTTCGAATCTATACACATAGTGTACATTATACGGGGGTCATTTAATAAATTATGCATAAGGTCATCTGAGAAAAAAAATACTTAATACAGATTTTTAATAGTTTCAATCCCTCAAAGTATTCCCTGTTACTCTTTACATATGTCTAAGGTATTTCTACCCATGACAAGAAAACCTCAGCATACTTATCTTAGGGATCCTAAAAGACACGATGAAAAACACCTCCCATGACATATCTGGAATTGAACAGTCATCCTTTGATTGTTTTCATGCGTTTTGGGGTTCAAAAGATCTTACAATGGCTGAGATCTAGCGAAAATGGGGGATGGCACAGCTCTGTAAAAAGCTTAACCTTTCTACTAACTACTACTATAAACCAATAAATCATGTTTGGAGCCTATGCTTCTCTTTACAGTAATAAGACGGCAGCTTTCACTCTGATTCCACATTTTATTACTGATCTCCCTTTTCGGCTTTAAAAAGTGCCCCCATAGTTCTACATCTATCACGCAAGTTTATCAAATCATCTTTTTTTGTAAAAATATAATTTTTGAAAAGACCATTGGCACATTTAACGCGTGTTTTCTACCGTAAGGAAATAAGGCAACTACATGTATTTTTTATCATGTACGTGTATATTTATCTCCTTTCTCAAAACTCTTTAAACTGTTGTGATTATGAAATATTTAGTGTCTTAGCAATTTCTATCGATATAAATCGGACATTTTCAGATATCGTGTTGCTCACAGCATTGATATAATTTTTGTGTCTCTACAGATTTCGATCGAATGGTTTGACTGCTATATTTTAACTCTTCCTTTTACTATTAAATTTCTGCATCTATCTGAAAACAATGGTCTTTCCACATATTAAAGTCATATCTTTAATACGAGTTCTTTGACGATTTACGTATTTAAGCACTATTTGTATACGCTCTCCCTTTCAACTTCTCGGTATAGATCATTTTAAAGTTTTTCAGTTCAGTTTAGTGACCATGCATACTTAAAAAGTTAATTCTTTAAGCCAACTTTAAAATGATGTTTGTTTGCCCTCTCCCAAATCGAGATGAAAAATGGGGTGTGTAGATAGGTGGGGAAATTTATTTTCCGGAATGCATAAAAAAATAATTGTTTCCTGGAGGTTTGAGTCGGAACATGTTTAGTCAGTCGGTCGGGAGAAGGCAACCAAACAATTTTTTTATGACAGCTGTGAAAAAAATAAAATTTAATATATCTACATTTATTATGATAAACTGTGTGTTGCATTATTTATTGAATGACCCTCGTATACCTTTGCCAAATCTTCAAGATAATATGTTTTACGGTGTGACCCGTTGGGGCGAGCGCAGTTGTACCATCAAAAAGCTATAGCAGCTTACACTTGTAACGTTGATCCGCCTCTTCAAACGTCAAACCACACGAGACACAGTCTAGACTGTGACGTCACATGACGTCGGAATTTACGGAGACAGCCGATGGTCTGGTTGAACGAGACTAAAGATCTTGTGCAATAATAAATGAAATACGTTGCAGAGTAGATGTAATTATTTTTTGTTTCTTTTAAGCTCTCTGCAAAGAAAGAAAAGTAAAAATATCTCTCGGAAATGAATAATTATCTTTGGTCTTTTGTATGTTTTGTAAGAATTTCGCATGGAACCCTGGTAGCGAAGGAATTCTGGGAATGTTGCCCCAGAAAATTTGCCTGACGTATGTACAGATTTCATTCCGAATTTTCTCTGTTCTTACACGTTAGTCTATTGAGCTCGCTGTGCTCGCTATAAGTAAACTTTGATTCCCTAATATACAAGAGTTATCTGTTATATTTTTTGTACAGAACGTATTTTCATAACGCTAAGACCTATATATGCATACAGTGTATGAACTCAGAACTGAAAAAAATACGTGTATATTTTAAGTAAATAAATTTGTCATATTTATTAATTGTGTAATGCTGTGGTATCTACCAGATTTGATTGTTTACACACTTAACTAGCAATCAAGCATGCTAATAAGTCACCCATTGGTATTAATTATTAAGTAGTTAACAGTCTGTATTTAATGTTATCTACGATGGCCGATATGGGCCGGACAAAAAGTAATCACGAGTTGTGTTCGATTTGCCGGCAATTCTTAGATGCCGGCAAAAAGTAACCGCGAGTTGTGTTTGATTTGCCGGCAAATCTTAGATGCCGGCAAATCTTAGATACCGCCAATTCTTATTTAAAATATTTAATTAAATTGCCAGAGGATATAGAGGTTTCAGAAGTCAAGTTATCTTAATTGGGCAAAGAGTTTGACAAAAACCAAAAAAAACAAAAACAAAAACAACAACAAAGCAGTTTCATATCAAAGCGAAGTCAAGACATTTAACTGGCTACAAAGCAGCCTCCCCGAAAATTCAAAGAATTAAGTCTATAACGGGGGATGGGGGTAGGGATCGGGGGCTATTTCAACACTAGTCTGGGTTACGTTCACTGTTTTTAAACAGAATATTTAAAAATCTGTATATAGGAAAATAAAACATTTCTTGTGTAATGTATATCGGTCCTACGCAAATCTATAAGTGTAAACTGCTCTTCATCCTCATTAAGTGGTTTTTCATAATTTTTGCTTAGGATATGGTGGAGCCTAGATAAAAACGGACAATACAAATTCAGATATTTTCTGTACTCTCATGATCATCCTCACAAGTGTTTATGGTAGTTTGGTAGTTTATGAACCAGACAATTTTTTTAAACATCTAATCAATTGACTACATGTAGCTGGGCCGTCAATCAGCAGGCAGCGTACACAGCGTTCATTTAGTATTTGAGGGAACACTAGCTTTGTTATTAAAAAAATTAACACAACTATTGAAGATCAAATAAAATATGTGTTGGTATGAATTTTAAAAGATATTATACTTTTATGTGGAGTGCACGGGTCTGGAAACCCCTTAAACAATGCTTATATGCGTTTTCCCCCCTCACTTCTCTCAGTATTCTGGTTGTTTTTTTTTTTTCAAACCATTTGCCCTGTTAAGTTAACTTGACTTCTGTGACCTTGATATTCTCTGGCATTTAAATTAAATATTACACATAAGAATTGCTATTGCATGTACCGAAGATTTGCCGGCATCTAAGAATTGCCGGCAAATCAAACACAAGTCGTGGTTACTTTTTGCCCCGGCCCATATCGACCATCGTAGTTATCAATAAACATCATGAGATATAAAACTGTTATTGCATAATTAAAATAATTAAAACTGTTATTGCATAATTAAAATAATTAAAACTGTTATTGCATAATTAAAATAATTATAACTGTTATTGCATAATTATATACATTATTGATGTAGTTCAATAAAATTAAAACAATTATCAGAAAAATGTTTGCAAGAACAATACCAAAAAAATGCCGTAACTGTGGGTTGTTTGTTTCACAGGCACTTGGGGTATATGGACACCCCCCCCCCCTTTCATTTAAATCTGGGGTCGAGTCAACTTTTTCCTATTTTTGTATTCAAATATGCACTATATGTTATCAATAATGAAACTCTTTTGTCTCTATATGCTATTTTTAAATATTATATCGTTTTCGACTGATACATAAAAAGAGAGAAGGCTTGCAACTCTTTTCTCGTCGTCTGCCTCACATCGCTTAAACTTTGCATGATTATTTATCTAAAGCATAAGAAAACATGGAATATGCATACGTCAATAAATTTGTTACACATTCTTCTTCCTTTTAATATTTCCTTTTAATTTTTATGTACCCCCGATTTGTAAATATTTCAGCGAAGACGAATACAAGTAGTGTGAATTTAATGCGGCATTCTAACGCTAGGTGGCAGGGTGTTCGCTGCGAGTGTTGCATGGTAAAATTAGGTACGCAAACCCGGGCCGAGGTTATTCGAAAGTTTTCAATTTTCTGCCTTAATACTTTATCAATCGAACCCAAATTTCTCAAGTTATGTTCCTTATAGGTTTATAGGTATATGCGGTAAAATTGCCCCGAAATGCTCAATATTTTAAATTTTTTCGAAGAAATTTGATTTCCAAGTTGGTAAAATGGGAAGGCAATATCAAGCTGACATTTTTATTTTATTTTATTTTTGACAAAAAGCTAATAAATTTATAAATTATTCTGATGTTAAAAATTATATTTTAACTATTTATAAGCATTTCTTCTTTCAAATGTGCTTTTGTTGCTTTAAATAACACGTTTTAAGAAAATCTGGGTCATTAAAACCGGACCAATGATGAAAATTCTAAAATAATTGTGTATTTTCTGTCACCTGAAAAATATAACTCTATTCAAGTTATTTGTTGGATGATTGATTTTCAGTTTTATTTATATAAAAAATATTAAATATTTTGATAATTACTAGTAAACCCTTATAAATCGAGTTGTTTTTCAGGACCCCTATATATTCTTCCACTGTACTAACATTTCTTTCTTTCAGGATAACAACTGTTCATGAGCAGTCGCGTGATTCTGGGGACCGGGGCTTGTCTGGTTTCGGCCAACCCATAATGCTCTGCAAAATAGTGCGGAACGTCATGGGTAGGCGTGGCCGGAACCAGGCTATAGGGCGGAGCATACTAAAAACTTCCCCCGGTTCTTATGAGAATATGGATTAATTTTTTGTATAGAAATAGCACTTTTCAATAAAGAAATAAATATCTCTAGTAAACACACAGTGTTTGACATCAGAATAACTTAAAAAAAATTATTTTGTCTATGTCTCGTTTGGCAAAAAATGCGTAAAATGTCGGCTTGATATTGCCTACCCATCTTAGCAAATTGGAAATCAACAATCGCCAAAAATAATCTAAAATATTGAAATTTTCAAAAAATAAATTCATGAATATAAATATTGGCAATTTTTACTGCGAATACAGATAAAACTTAGAGACGTAGCATTGTTTTTGAAAGGGGCAGCCAGTAAAAAAAAATAACTTACCTAAAAATCTTGACAAGCAAAAAAAAAAAAAAAAAAAAAAAAAGAGGAAAATTCTTCAAACTCGAAAATTCTATTTGAGGGGAGGAGGGTCCAACTTCTTTCAGTACCAAATTTTACTCATACATCACTACGTACATGGCCCTTATTTGACTAAACTGCAACAAAAAGAAGGGGGGGGGGCAACCATATTTTCATTGAACATTAATATTTTCAGTAGTAAAAAGTTATGGCTAGAAAAATGTTTGGTGGCCAGCCCCCCTCCCCCCTTGCTACCGGTGTCATGTAGTGAGACTTCCCCCATAGTGAGTCTTTCCCCCGGAAGTCTGGCTATATAGTGAGACTTCTCCTGGGGGGGGGGGGGGGGGGGACAATGACTAAATAGTGAGCCTTCCGCCCTTCCGTGTTTGGTTTGGATTTTATTTGCATTGACGATGTATATATGGCGAATTTAGGTAATGATCTTATATATATATATATATATATATATATATATATATATATATATATATATATATATATATATATATATATATATATATAAGATGTGTAGTTTCAAACGAATGAATATAAAAGTGCGCATTAAAATCACGTGAATTATTTCTGTACCTTTAAATGTAAACTTTCTTATTATAATGTTGCTTTTTTTTTTTTTGACGTTTAATATTTATTTTTATCTTGGTTTCAACAACTTATAAACATGCCAACATGTTTACAATTTGATTGAGAATTTGACAAAAGAAGGTGATGGATGATAGAGCAATACATGCAAAAGCGTGCTCTTTTTTTTACACTTACTTTTCTAAAATAGCCTATCTTAAAAAAGTAAAAAAAAAAAAAGAAAAAAAAAGAGAGAAAGCCAAACAAGTCTTACATGTGTAACATTTCACTACTTGTGGTACTGTACCACTTTATTTTCCGGAGACATTTTACATGTTTTACAGCCGCAGAGTAGAAAATGATTGTTTGGCTGTATGTTGTTTTACGTCCCCTCGAGAATTATTCACTAACATAGAGACATCAACATGTACCGGTGAAGTGCTTCAAATTTAGACCTTTACTCGGCACTCAGGGCCATTGAACAGTGATCCAGGGATCCTTATCGTGCCTACGCCTGCCGTGACACGGGGCCTCGGTTTTTAAGACTACATAAGAAACTTTTACTTCAAAGTGCCGATCGCTTGGCGAAGGAACAATTGCTACCTATTTTTTATGGACTTAGGTCAGTCGCGGCCGCGGGGTTCGAATCCACGACCTTCCGATCAAAGAGAAAGTGCTCTGCCTACTAAATTTCCGCGACGTTAGGGTAGAAAATGGATTTGTCAATACTTTACATGTAAACAAAATCATTCTTTTACCCTTTCCGAGGTTCGGAAAGGCGTTGAAATGTATTTTCCTAGATCTTTTAAAAGCAGGAACATTTTTTGGTTTCACGAAACCGATGACATGTCTGTATTGGGGAAATACCATTTAATATTGACTTTTTGAAAAGTAATTTCACCTATGCTGCTTCTGCAAGAAAGTCAGGATCTTGTATTTCTTAAATTTATCTATTTAAATGTATTTTAATTTTAATATATTGACATTTTTCCTAAATATTTATACACAATTTACACTTTTTTGTTGTTGAAATTTTAGACCCCTGTAAATGCCCTAATAGCAAGGGCCTGAAGGATCACTAGAGTATAATACTACACCGTAAAGGGTCCTTAGAAGAATAAAACAAAACATCTTAATAGATGATCATGAAGATACATTGTCCAAAAGCAACTTAAGAAAAATAGGATGATCAGGGATGTAGATTAATTTACATGTCTGTACTTTTCAGTGCTTATAGACTCGCATTTATCACGAACACCATGCAGACTTCACACAGCAATAGTACTTCAGCACGAATTATAGTAACAGTAACCCCATCATATTCTTTAACATTGGCCGGTATTTAACATACAAAGATAAAGTTTTTTGACTCATTTCTATGTAGATAAAAGTCTACCTGGCTATTAAAAACTATGAAAATACTTTATTGTATTATACATTAAAAATTCTTATATAATTTATTCAATTGACCTATCAGTTACATGTACATTATTTACAATGATTATCATAGGTGAAAATGATCCATAATTTAGAAAATCTGGTAAAAATAACCTTGCTCATTACAATTTTGCACTCAGTCAGCCTCCTTGATGCCCAGGAGCAGAGACAATTTTTATTAATGACTCATTAATGCATTTTCATTATATAATCAATAGAATCCCAGCCTAAAAATAGATCTCCTAATCCGGAGGCCAGGGATTTAAAAATTTTGAAAGAGACACCCTTGCTCATTAAAACTATCACTTATCATGATTGCTTAATATTTCGAGGCAGAGAAGATGATTATGAAAGAAATAATGCATTTTCACTACATATTGCGAATCATGCCAAATTTTGAAAAAAAAAAATTGGTTACTTGATTCCTTAAAACCCTAAATAAGCTGACAACGTTTAATTTCAACACATGACAACAGACAACGGAGAATCTGAGTGACTCAGGTGACCTGATAATGATAATATTATTCCTTTACTACTGATTCTATAGCTTTAGAATAGATATATATATACATGTAAGAATAAAAAATAAATGAAATCTTGAATAATGACTTTGTTAATAATCTCTAGTTCTCCACATTCAAGATATCATCCAGGTGGCCAGTTCATCTGTCTTCCTCCCATAACATGTATGTGAAGATGATGCACTGACTGGGCCCCATCTGGTCCTTCATTAATTACTGAGGGAAAAAGCAGAAATCCATAAATTATGAGAAACAAAATGGGTGATATATACGGATACTTTGAGCAGACAATCTATGAAATTAAATAGAAACTTTTTTGTGTATCCATATGTTGTTAATGTTGTAATTAAATTTTAATGTATTATTTCTGTGTATACATACATGTATGTGTTTTACCTCAGTTTATGTGTACCATATGTAATACATATTTTACTTTACCTAATCTATATCCATTTGATAGATTCTCTTGCTCTGCAACTTGTTTAGCAATCAATAAAAGATGCCCTAAAAGCTGAAAGAAGAAATTTTACTTACACAAAATATTATACATATTACAATAATCAACATTTGTTTAATTACTTTAAGTCTAACTACGTGTATTTCAAAACGAGCAGGCCTGATATGTGACTACACTTAATACATTTTATGAAAGTATTTCACAAAAAGAAGCATACATAGACATGATAAATAGCACAATTTAAATGTTAAGCTGATGGCAAATTCTATATTTCTTCTAAATTTTTAAACAGAAATGAAGTGTAGGTCAAATGTAGCTTTTCATACAATTATACTTCAGTCTAAAACAATAAATATGTAGGAATGGATTGTGTAGATTATTTAACTGTTTCAGATGAAAATTAATTGTTATTTTCAACTCAAGTTGATCAAGCATAAAATCCATGTCAGTTATATTCTGCATCAAGAAAATAGAGTATTTATGTAAGTACAATATGTCAGTTTGGTTTTTGTATCACCTAAGATATGTTAAAACATGCCTAAATGTATTTGATATAGAATGTTCTATCGTTAAATTGATAAATGTCCTACGGACCCAGCTGAACAAGGGCCTGTTCTGAGACACAGTTAGATTATTCTAACTATACATGTATATACATATATATATGCTGTTCTTTAATAATAAGAGTCAATCACACATAACAAGACAATCAGATGAAGTAATCAATACATGCTTCATACAAAGAACAAATGGATAAGGATGTACCACAGGGTTAAGGCTTATTTTGATAATTATCATAATATTAGTGGAGAATGAACATTTATGTACAGTTTGACCCTCAAACAAGCTAGTGAGCATAAAAATAGGTCAATGGGCCACTACACTCACCTGAGTAATTTTAGCTCTACTTTTTTTTCAGATTGCCAAAAAAAAAGAGTTTTATATACCCATGAAAAATAATCATTGACCCTATATTACATGTATAACCCATCTCTAACTCTAAGGGTTTAAAATTGGGGATGCTACAATATCATTTTAATTAACTTGGCTTTGCAGTTATTAAGATGATTTTTTTTCCTGTATAAGGTAAACAAATTTTATCCCTGTTTTATCTTACTCAAACAAATGGGGCATAAATTGAAAAAGAAATTTGATCTACTCAACTTAGCAATGTTTGCATATGTGTGGGACAACTGTAGTTCTTAAGAAAAATTTTCAAAATTTATTTCCTATAAAGTCCCAAGTAAAACTTTGATCCCCTTCTGTGGCCACATCCTAACCCGGGGCCATGTCTTGTACAATATAGAATCAACAACACCTCAGGAAGCTTTCACATAGTTTGGAATTCCATATCAACATGACTAATCTGTTCTTGAAAAGAAGATTTTTAAAGATTTTTTCCCATATATTTCTATGTAAAAATTTGATCCCCCATTGTGGCCCCACCCAACACCTTGGGGTCATTATTTGAACAAACTGGAATCTACACTACCTGGGAATGATTCTGTATCAATGTGACTAATATGGCTTTGTTGTTCTTGAGAAGAAGATTTTTAAAGATTTTTGCCTATATATTCCTTTGTAAAACTTTGATCCCCCATTGTGGCCCCACCCTATCCTCTGGGTCATCATTTAAACACACCTGAATTTACACTATGTGTAGGTTTCACATAAATTCACAACTTTTTTGGCAAACGGTTCTACAGAAGATTTTTAAAAGATTCCACCTATTTTTCACTTATTCTTAATTATCTCCCCTTAAAAGTGGGCGTGGCCCTACATTTGAAAGAATCCTCTTCACTCAAAGATGCTTTGTGGCAAGTTTGATTGAAATTGGCCTAGTGGTTAGTTCTGGGGCCCGTTTTACAAAAAAACTTATGACAGAGACCAAAATTGAATCCCGCTTATAACTTTCTAATTTACATTAAATTGAAAATGGTTTTAATCTTTTTAAAAGTAATATAGAAAGATACTTTTAAGCTAGCAATTTTAAACAGAATAATTGATTTTGCAAAATGTTACAAACAACTTAAGATTTTGGTCCAAGTTCTTTTGTAAAACAGACCCCTGGAGAAGAAGTCAAAAATGTGAAAATTTAACAGACAGACAGACAAAATGTAATCAGGAAAGCTTACTTTAGGTTTTAGCTCAGATGAGCTAAAAAAAGAAAGTCAGTTGCAGCAGCTGATTTTTTTTTCAAGGTGAACATTTAAAGAACTAGAGCAGAGCTCGTTGCAAAGCAACGAGTAGGTCTTCCGTTGGAGCTGCGAGCAGGAAGAAGTGACCTTGAGTCAAGGTTATACCACATTCTAAGGTTATAAGCAATCTTGTAAGGGGTATCAACTTGCAATGCCTCACCAGTAGAAAGACAGTTAAGGAATGTTGTTTCTCCGTTGATGACCTTGAACTCGTTCAAATGACCTTGCATCAAACCATGATACACTCTGGTTATAAGCAAACCCCATCTATGTGTTACCGACTCGACAAGTTAACACATGTTCTTTCAGACCATTCATCCAGTCAAAACATTCTTTCCTTAGTGACCCTAAATTTAATCAACATGGCCGTAGGAACCGAGGAAGGGGGGGGGCGTGCCCCCAATAATTTTGCCGATATATAGATTACTGTAGTAGACATAGATACTATAGCTTGTGCCACCTCAATAAAAACGTCTGATAACCTTCTTTTTTTTTGCTTGTCAAGGAATTTTTGGTAGTTGGTGACCTTTTTTTTTGCTTGTCAGGAAATTTATGGTAGTAGTGCCCCCTCAACTGTCAACTGAAAATGTATGGCTGTGCCCCCCCCCCCAAAAAAAAAAACAACTGAATTTGCTTCCTATGGGCCTGATCAAGGCAATGATACACTCTGTATGATATCAGCGATATCCTTTTGTGCTTTTGTGTGTTTCGGACTTGACAAGTTCACAGTTTGCATTTATTGCATGATAGTGAGGGAGACATGAAGATTTCTTCGCCCATAAAAAATCATATTCCCCGAGGGCAACATGAAGATTTCTTCGCCCATGAAAAATCATACTCCCCAAAGGCAACGCCCGAGGGAAATATGATTTTTCATTTGCGAAGAAATCTTTATGTCTCCCTCACTATTATGCAATAAATTGTTTATAATACCGAATTAACCAAAATGCAGGAATTACAAAGGAGATCCAATGAATAAAGCAAACGTGCATTTGATGAGAACGATATGAAAGAGATGTAAGTTACAGGTACACCAATAGCCTCGTTTCATTAAAAAAAAATCCCTACGTGACAAGTTTGTGTGATCACACCAGTAACATTCAAACACCACCATTACATTTTTACACATTTAAATCGGCACAATCAATCAACGATAATATGTTGACGGTGCGACCGTTGGGGCGAGTGCATTGTTCACTTAATTTTATGATCCGCCTCTTCAAACAGCACGAGACATTTAGAACGTCTAGACTGTGACGTCTCATGACGTATGTTAGCTGTATTTCCATAAACAAATTTTGAAAAGTGCAAACATTTTAACAAAGAACGTTTAATCTACTATCTGTATGCAATTCCATTAATTAAGGTGATTTTTTGGGGTGAATTTTTAGTTGTTGTTACCGCGCGAACGAAGTTAGCAGCGTCGCTATAAACAATCCAACTCCTCACTCGTTTAATTGTGACGTCACAATCGTGAAACACGACGTTTTGTTGCAGGGCAAACATGATGGACACGTGACTTTCTCAGCCAATCAAATTCTATTTTACTAGGTCAAACTCCAAGGTCAAGGGATCATAATTGTTTTTACTTGAGGGAAGGTCTTAAATGTTACAAGGAATACACATGTGGTATTAAAAAAGCCTTAGCACCAACTGTTCAAAAGTTAAAACCAAGGTTAAAGTTTTTCAAAAGTAGGACATACTCAAAGGTCAAGGTAAAATAGTCAAAATTATAGGTATACAATGACAGGTCTTGTCACAAGAAAATTATCTATGTAATATAAAAGCCCTAGTACTAGTCATTCAAAAGTTATTGTCAAGGCTAAAGTTGTTTAAAAGTTGGTCAAACTCCAAGGTCAAGGTCAAATTGTCAAACATATTTATACCCAAGGAGGAGACTTATCACAAGGGATACAGATGTGAAGTATAAAAGCCATAGCACCAACTGTTCAAAAGTTTTGGCCAAGGTTATAGTTTGGTAAAATTTTGCAAAAGAGGATCAAACTCCAAGTTCAAGGTCAAGAGGTCAAATATGTTGGTACCTGAAGGAAGTCCTTGTTACTAGGAATACACATAAGAAATATGAAAGCAGTAGTTCCAACCAATCAAATTTTATGGGCATAGTTAAAGTTTTTGCGAACAAAGAGGCTAATACATTCTAACAGACAAATAGACAGGTGGACAGGACAAAAACTGTATGCCCCCCGGATCTTCGATTACAGTAGCATAAAAAAATGTCGGCGTCTTTGGGTTTTCGCATTGGCCTTAAATCTGAAAATCCAAAGGATTACAAGGTGCCTTACGATACGCTTTCACATCATGTTCTATAACCCAGAGCATATTGTCTGCAAAGATAAATATTCAATTCAGTATTTAATTAGCTATGCATAATTATCTATGTTGTTTTAAAAAGGAAATATAAAAAAAAATATTTCTTTTATATTTTTCGATGTAGAGATTTACAGAAAATGTTTTCCAATTTTAAGTCCTATCGCAATACACATTTTAAAAAAAGTGTGTGTTGGAGGGGGGGGGGGTGATTACATTTTTGCTGGGATTCGCCTATGTATGACCGTAGAGAAACAAAGAGTGGGGAGGGGGCAGGCAGCAACTAAATCAAAATTTACATATTAAAACTACAGCAAAAGACTATTTTCAGAAGGTCTGCCCCCCCCCCCCCCCCGTACAATCCGTACAACGGACCTGTGAAAAAAATACTGATCCTACATTCAGAGTCCCAGAGCACCAGGAAAGAGTGGCAAAAAGAGAATATCGTTTATTTCAGTCTATAAGTCGAATCAAAATATCTTTTCCTCAAGAGTCTTCTTTCTTTGAGTTCATCCCAGTGATCTGTGA